TAGAGCACATGCAAGTTTGTCAACTCTTGTTTTTTTAAAGGGAATAGTCGACGTGTACATGGATAATCAGGGAGTGCACATACCATTTTTGTGCAATTCGGGGATTTGTTCTAAGTGAAAATAGGTCGATATAACATGGATACCATTTTGTGCAATTTTTCTTTTATTTTGGCTTTGTGTAGAGGCGATTTTTGGCGCAAAAATCTCCATTATGCAAGCCAAAATAATAAGTCAAAAAATTGCACAAACTCAGTATCCATGTACTGCCAAAAATCGCCAAGTTTCGCCCAGGGGTATGCTAAAATATATTTTTACCTGTTTTTTCTTTTGATATGTTGATACTGCGTATCGACTTAGGATAACTATTACAGTCAAAAGTCTTTAATCTGGACATCCATAATCCGGAAGGATCTATAATCAGGACCTCAAAGCTACAAACTTTCTGCGAATGCGTAAACATATTGCATTCGCATATGCTCTTACGCATGCGTGTAATACCTTTACGCATGCGCGTTTAATGTATAACGGACAGTATAAGCTAAGCTAAAATTATTTAATTATCTATTTCAGTTAATGTTGCAGATTGCGTTGTTCCTTAATCTTCGAATTGGATCCGGCTTATTATTTTTTGCAGACTGTTAGAGCAATTTTATAAAAGTAAGCTTGAACTTTCGATTATGTCAAAAAGAATTTCCGATTCTGGAGCTGCCAAAGGATCTACAAAGCAAAAGCATGTTTCGATGTCCATCAAACAAAAAGTGGAATTGCTGCAAAAAATGGATAAAGGCATATCCTTTGTTTCTCTAACCATTCCGAAATCTGTTTATCAATTTCACACTGCTCTGCGGGGGGGGGGGGGACGTCGCAGCGCGCAATGAACTGGAAGTTGATCTGTCAGCACTATCCTTATCTTCAGGGCAGATGTTTTTATTTTATTCGGCTTATAATTCCTTACTAAATGTAGTATTTCATCTCGATGTACTTCCGTCTTTGATATGATTTAAATCAAATTCCTCGTCATTATAAATATCACGAATAAACATCAAATAGTTTTCTGGTTGCAATTTTCTAATTTCGACTATGCGTAATGTATGCTTTACGCATGCGCGCGTTGAAAGAAATGTTTAATAAAGTAAACAAATAAATATTAAGCTTTTTTTTTTGTAAATTTTGATACCCTTTAGATCATAATTGCTCTTTATTTCATAAATTACGGTTTCATATTTTTAATTTTATAATTTATGCATGCCATCTTACCAGATTTAAACTGATGATCTATAATCTGGAAAAGCCGATAATCCAGAATCGCGGAAGTCCCGACAAGTTCCAGATTAAAGACTTTTGACTGTAATAGTTTGGGAATGTTTTTTAAAAAATGTTATGAGAATCGTGAGTTTGTACCTGATAAGTAATTTTTACCTTTTCATCCATAAAAGACTGCTAGATTGCCCAGGGTGGTTGTGTAAATATGTAACTACCTAACCTATATTTGTTGGTATTTTTTAGGTTCTATTTGTCGACTGATAATATGAACACTTTTTAGCTTGTTACTAAATAAAAAGTATAAGAGATTCATGGTAGTTTTGTCTCTTAAAAATTCAAGCTTAGATTGATATTATTTTTGTGAAAAGATAATTCATTTTTTCTCAACATCAGGAGCAACTAATTTTCCTGAAAAATTCTTTTTAACGGCTTATAAGACATCTCTTATGAAATATGTAGAAAGATGTTAATTTCCAACTTATCCTGACCACTGAAATTAATTAAGCACAAAAATGCCTAACGTGTTTACAGGGTATGTAAATTAAATTAACCTGTTAATGACCACATTATGTTTCAAATGAAGGAAATGATCAAACACAAATTTTTTTGATGTATTAGAGTCGTAATTAAGTGACAAGTAAAGCAGGAAAAAGTAATATTTATTTTTATTGAAGATGCAAAATGTTGCAAAAATAGAACATAAATCAAAACCAATTATTTTTGAAATACATAGAAATCATTGAAACATTTGCTATACAAAGGCACCTAACATTTATTACAAACAGTTATCATTTGACTACAGTATTTACTTCTGTTAATTTTTTTTTAGGTTTATTTTTCTCGATAATGGGATTTTCTCTATCCTTTGTTGTTTCACTTGAGACTAAATTTTGAAAGAAATATGGTTGATCAACACAGTCTATCAAAAGGAAAACTGCGATTTTTTGGAATATCCTTCCCTTGTTTTCAGCAATCACAGCACATCTTTGAAAATCTGGGAAATTTCAAGTTTTATGGCAATCTTATAAAGTTTTTTCTGTATATTTGATTTAGCTACATCAATAAAATTTGTAAAAATAGGCTGTCACCATTTCTTACTTTTTACTTGCACTCTATATGCTTCACAATAAAATTGTCCAAGAGGTGCACACCATCTATATATTTGCTGTAATTTCCAATGAATTTAAGTTGCTTTACAAATACTACAAGTTTTTTTTTTTTTTTTTTTTTTTTTTTTGAGTACCTCTGGATCATTGAAGATAGATAGAATGTATCATAGTTAGTTGTCATAGCTATGACAGAATTGTCGTTTCATTGAATTACTGTGATGCCATGCTTGCATTACTATTGAATTACTGTAATGCCATGCAATTACTGCATTAATGCATTACTGTAATGCCATGCAATGTATTTATAGGGATAATAGTACAAGTTCCTAATGTTATCAATTGCTCCAGCTGCAAGAAATTTGCTTATTAAAAACAACAGATGTGTGACCTAAAGCGATCATTGAAGAGTATGTAACCATTTGAAGAAACAAACTTCCATTACATTCAAAAGATCTATTACAGCATCTTCATCTAGTCCAAGATCTGCCAATATTTTTGAAAATTTTCCTGTGTGTATATAAGAATGACACAAGTACTTTTCATCGGAATACTAGACACCAAAATGTGTACTCACAACAAATGAGTTTTTGTTTGAGAAACATTTTGCACGAATACTAAAATCTACCAAAATAAGGTATCATTTTCTAAATTATAGAAAGTTGTCTTGGGAGGTGGTAACCTCATAAGGCACAAAATTGGCGTTTAAAATATTTAAATAGAGATGAACATTAGCCAGTTTCTCAGTTTTACCCAATGCATTATGATCAGCTAAATGCAATTACTGCTTGATCTTAGTATACATAGAATGTGTCATTTCTTGTAATTTTTTCAAGAAATCATTATATTTTTTAGAGGAAAAAAATCTGTATTTCACCTGGTACATCTTTGGCATTGGCAAGTTATCACTTAACATTTCATCATTAATGGCTTTCCTTATCGGTCACATTATCTGGCGGAATTACTATTAAATCTATTTCCCCTTGACTGTCATCATCTGATGAAAGTTCTAAAACATCGTATTGATCTAACTCCTTCATAAATTATAATGCTTCTTTAAACATTGAAAACTATTGTCTCGGATATTTGTTATTTTGATAAAATACCACGTGTGAAAATCCATATATATTCATCAAGACGCAGCTTTGAACTGATGTTGCATTTTTTCAACATTTAAAAAATTGCACTCTAGTACCAACAAAAACAAAATAACCATACCTTTGACATTCTATTGTTTCTAGATGATTGGCATGTTTTTGTAAAATTTGTAGAGATATAGGTTATTTTGAGGTAGGAGAAATGAAAAAATGAGCAATGACCTTGCCGGGACTCGACTCGCGGATCTCTCGATTACCCGCCCAATGTGCTGACCACTACACCACGAAGGCATGCTAAGAAAGTGAAAAAATACCTAATAGATTGTGTGCACTTTTTAGGAGATCTACTCAGAATTGAAAGAAAAAAACTGGAAAAAAGTACCAAAAAGATAATTTACTTTTATAGAAAACTTAAATGTGAGAAAAATAAAAAAATTTTGGCCCAGAAGCGATGAAGTATTATCTACAATAATATAATATAATAAATATAATAAACGAAAAAAAAGACACTATCAAAGATGGAGGCAAAAACGTTAAATAATGTGAAAATGCAGCATCAATCATTAATGGATGAACTGATCATTTTGTACTTTATAAATTAATTTAATATTTATAAAATTAATTTAATATTTCCAAAGAACACATTGTAAAACGCATAGTTGCAGATGCAAGTTTTGTGTATGAGCTTTGTGCAAGTTCCGCCAGCAAGGAGTTTTACCAGTTTGCCATTAGTGTCCAAAAAGAAACATCTTCTAGCATGATATCATCCCTTGGGTGGAGCCTCAACAGTTACTCATTGTCTGTTCTGCCATCTAGCGGAAGTAACATGAGAGTCCTTCACAGTACGCCCTTCCAAGTGCCAAGAGCACTGAAACTAGAAATAATATATATTAAAGTTAACTTTTCTCCCAGAACGAGTAGTTGTTATAGAAATAGGTGCAAAAGATGTCTGTAGTGGAGGTGAGTTGGAATCATCAGGCAGAGAATTAGGCAAAAAGGTTGATTTATGTTATTGCAGAATTGTCTACCTTTGATTTCAGTGGTAAAAGTTTTGTAATTATAGTCTTAACACAGGGTCCTTCATAAGGTGCTTGGAGAGATTTACTCTACACGAGCATGATGCATGAATTTGTGCATATAGTTACTCAGTGAGGAATATACAAAAATCCTCTGTTTGTTATGTGAGCACGCAGGAGCTGTTTTTAAAGATTCTTTTATTTGTCAAAGGATTCTAAAAGTTCTAAGACTTTTTTGTGTTGATTTTTGGTGTTTCCAAGTTCTTCTTTTAGGGTAGATGAGTCGTAAGAGAACTAAGGGATTCTTCCCATTTGTTATTGTGGCAGTGAAGTCCTTATTTTTTTGGATCTATTTAATCATTTGAGAAATCTGTTACACAATGAATGGTGTGGTGATGTTCTAATTTGTCATGTTCTGAGGATTTGATTAATCACTGAAAAGAGGTTTCTATAAAATTGCCTAGCTTGATCTGCTGTTTATAGCAGCAGACACACCAAATTTTAAAATCAATTGCATGATGAAAGGTTTTACTACAGTTTCAGCAGTCATGTCAGGAACAGGGATTACCGTAGACCATTTGGTGCTTCTGTTAAAGCAGGTGAGTAGATACTGGCATCCTTCTGAAGGTGGAAGAGGCCAACAGTATCTATATGGACATGTGCAAAACATTGTTGAAGAGCTTTAAAATTAAGTACTAGACTAAGGGTATGCTTGGTGTTTTTTTATCTTTGACAGTCCTGGACCAATAAATGTAAAGTGTCATCAGATCTTGAATCCAGTACATGAGAAAAGCTTTTGCTACAGTTTCAGCAGTCATATCAGAAAAAGGATTGCATTAGGTCATCGTCATCTAGTGTGTGTGTTGATGCAGGTTTGGGGGTACCAGTATCCTTTTGAAGGTTGAAGCGGGGCACCAATATCGACATGAATGTGTGCAAAATGTTGTTGAGGAGTTCTGAAGTCTTGTAATGGACTGTGGAGATGTTTGGTGATTTTTAACTTTTGAAAGTCCACAAAGACTTCTTTGTCCAAGAAGTGATATCTTTTGATATGGATGGCCACATGAAGCAAGACTGAATTAGTTTTTTAGTTGCACAAATGCCTGGATGAGGTAAGCCATGCAACACATTATTGAATATGTGCTTGTGAAAGCATTTTGACAGGAAAGGTCTAATTTCCCCGTACTGACATCACAGTAGATTGTCAGAGTGAAGTGATAAATTTTCAGAAGGCAGTATATTCTTTAGTTCATTAACTTGATTCTCAGCCTCAACATTTTCTAAGAGATCAACTGATTGATGCTGCTAATTCTTAAAAGGATGTCAGTGATGACAGTGTTAGTCTCAGATATGTGTTGTGATGTCTCTAGAGCTGTGCAACAAAGTCAAGGTGCTTGAGCTGGTGAGCAAACAAGTTTGGAGTTTTTTTTTTAAAGCATAAATTAAGGGTTAGAGGTTGATCTTGAACAGTGACAGATCTTGAAACAATGGCCTTCGAGAATGTATCTAAAATGTGTTATAAATGGGTAAATAGTACTTTAGTAATTCTTTGTTGTATGTGCTATATTTAGATTCGGTTAGTGAGAGTTTACATGAGAAAAATGCAAGTCTTTTTATCTTCAGTAGTAGGTGAACTAAGAGCAGCTTATAAAGCATTTGTTAAAGTATCAACCACTATAGGAAGTTTGTATGGTGAGCATTGACCATTAGTTTTTGTTGGGTTCATGAAAGGCAAAGGTTGTTGCATTGAGAAGTTTTCTTTTGTAGTTTTCAAAGGCAAGTGTTAAAGCTTCTGTCTACAGAATAGGACATTCATCATCCATTTTTAAGTCTTCAAGAAGATCATTTAACATGGCTTCTATTTGAGGAGCTTTTGATAGAAAATGTCTACAGAAATATAACTTTGCCGAAAATTGGCTAAATTGGAATGTAGTTTCAAGGGAAATGTTGATAATATTTCCACTCTGTCGGGAAGAGGTGTGATGCTTTCAGCACTGATTATACAACCAAGAAATTTAATAATGAATTTCCCTAATATGCATTTATCAGGATTTAATTTAAGACCATGATTTTTTAAACAGGAAAAAACCTTTAAGTGTTCAGAAGAGGATGTAATCAGTGTCATCAAAATAGGACATACAGAGGGTCAGAATTAGCTACTACCTGGTGTAGATATATTATTACAACAGTTCTAAGTGCAGATGACATTGAGGTATGCTCGAAAAAACTAGATTGGTTTGTTATAGGAGTTTTTAGCTCATCATTTTGATTTACTGGCATTGTGTGATAGCCCAAGCTAAATCAAGGGTGGAGAAAATTGATTTATTATGTGGATTCTAGGTGCAGTCAGGATAGAGGGTAACGGTCTGTTACTGCGATATAGAATGAGCCGATGTTGATCACCATAAAGATGAAATTTGGCATTCGCTCTTTTAACAATATGCATGTCACTTTCCTGGGGCTTTAAAAGGGATGGATAGTATCTTGAGATATAATACATTTGAATTCTTTTCAGACTGAAGTACTATACAGTCAAAAGTCGTTAATCCGGACTCGACGGGACTTCGGCGTTTCCGGATTATCAATTTTTCCGGATTATAGATCGTCAGTTTAAATCTCGTAAGATCGCATGCAGAAATTCTAAAATTAAAAATTATGAAACCGTAATTTATGAAATAAAGAACAATTATGATCTAAAGGGTATCAAAATTTACAAAAAAAAAAAAAAAAAGGCTTAATATTTATTTGTTTACTTTATTAAACATTTCTTTCAATGTAAGTTGTTTAAGTTGCTGCTTCATTTTATGTGATAATACTTTCTCTTTAATTCTATAAACAGACATAATTTCTTGTTCAGTTACAAAGTTCCGCTGTTCAAGTCCCGTTAATTGCTGTGCCGAGAATACCGACTAACTTGTCAATCGAAATTTTTTCGTTTTCACTAACCTCTCTGTCACCTCTCTGTCACATTCTTCATGTCTTTATCCATTTTTTTGCAGCAATTCCACACTTTTTGTTTGTTGGACATCAAAACATACTTTCGTTTTGTAGATCCTTTGGAAGTTCCAGCATCGGAAATTCTATTTGACATAATCGAAAGTTCAAGTTTACTTTTATAAAATTGCTCTTACAGTCTGCAAAAAATAATAAGCGGGATCCAATTCGAAGATTAAGGAACAACGCAATCATTAACATTAACTGAAATAGATAATTAGATAATTTTAGCACCGTCCGTTATACATTAAACGCGCAGGCGAAAACGTATTCTGCACTTGCGCACACGCATATGCGCAGTAGTCAAGGTCTTACGCGCACGCGTGAAACGCCTGTGCGCATGTGCCAACGCGGCACATGCGCAGAAAGTTTTTAGCTTTGAGGTCCGGATTATAGATCATTCCGGATTATGGGTGTCCGAATTAACGACTTTTGACTGTATTAGGGACAAGTCATTGAGGTTTTAAGAAAGCGGGCAGGCATTTTTTATTTTGGTATTATAGTAAATATGATGTTGTTCGACATGGATTGGGTGAGATGGAGATGGATGGATATTTCAGCATAGTGTGTTAAAATTTTATTAAATTGGAAATTGCCTATATGAATAATAATATTTGATGCAAAAATATCAATATTTGGAGCATGAGCACTTGACAAAGATTTAGTTTTGGCATCAACAACTCTATGATTCTTAGCATCAATAAGTAAATTAAAATATGTTAGAAAATCAATTCCAGTGTGAGGTTGTTTAACATCTGCAGTTAGAAATGACCGTGCATATTGTTGATATAGGTTAAATCTTATTTCAACATGCTTTGTTCCTTAAGTTGGTATTTTTGTTCCATTTGCAGTGTACAGGGTTAAGACTTCTGTTTTTACCTTGTGAGCATAAGTTATGAGAAGAACTGCTGTCTCTGTGCTACGATCAATAAAAAAAATATGATTTAAGATTTTGTATTGGTAAGTTAATATGATAGAAACAAATATTATTAGCTGATTCTTCATAGGAGCAAGGTCAATTGCAGGAAATTAAATAATTAGTTAAAATAATTAAGTTATATTATTATGATACATATTAGGGTAATGCATGATAATTAAGACTTAATAAAATCTACTCTAGAAATAATTATTCATGAGATAATAGATTACCAAGATCTGGCAGGTTGTTTAAGATGTAGATGATTAATCCCATTGAAAATAAGCAGCACATGCAAAAAATGATTTAAATTTCATTACTAAATATCATGGGTAAAGTCAAAATAAACACATGTTCTTGATAGAACTTTCGGAAGCTGGGTTTATTGCAATATTTTTCAGCATCATTTGTTCTTCATCCTAGTTGCTATTTGTAGAGGTTTTTAATTTCCAGCATATTCTGATCACTAAAATTAATGAAACACAAAAATGACATGTTAATAGGTTGCATAAATTAACTGATTAATTTCATATTTAATAATATTTAAATATTATGAGGAACATGCTATAAAATAGAGTTGCAGACACAAGTTTTGCATATGAGCTTCGCGTAAGTTCTAGCAGCAGGAAGAAACCTGTCTATTTTCCCTCCAGCATCCAAGAAATGTTAGTCATGCTACTTCTTGGCCATATGAGTATATGAGTTTCTTGGGCATTAAGTTTTGCATATGACCTTCATGTAAGTTCTACCTGCAGGAAGAAATATGTCTGTTGTGCCCCCAGCATCCAAGAAGATGTGTTAGAAATGCTACTTCTTGGGAAGAGCTTCAGTTTCGCTCATCTCCTGTGCTACCATCTAGCAGAACTAACAGCAGTCAAAGTTCACTGCATATACAATATCAGTGTATATCAATTTGTATGAGTGTATGTTATAAGCCTCTTTATAAATTTTTGGTTCTTTCTTATTATCCACATCCGCACTGAAAAGCCACAAACTCATTACTGACTTTTGAGAGCATTCACAAACTTGTCGGGAATTCATTTATTGCCAAGTTAATGCATGAAAGGTAACATCCATTTCCAAAATGGCGGCATGCTAAGAATTCCATGCAAGGACAATCAATCGAAGTAAGAAATATCAGTGATAAAATACTGTGTTTTCTTCCCATATACATTGTGATCTCTTTTTGCTTCAAAAAAATTAGAAACTTGCACGAAATCTGTATAACTTGACATTGTACACTGGCCAAAACAGATATGTGGTACATGGACGACATAAATACTCTTTAGTGACATCATAGGCTGTGACATAAATATTTTGGCCACATACTGCTTTGCCTCATGAAAACTGTTTTGCAGTTTTGAGGGGTTTAACGAATAATCAGGAAGTACCGAATTTTTCTTACTCTCAAAACCTTAATAATGGACTTTAATTGTATAATAAGTAATACAATAAGTAATTAATAATGTTTACTGTTATCAGGTGAAAATATTAATATTTTCTAAAGCTAAAAGTTTTGAATTTTATTTGAAAGGTTATTGCTATTCTTGGAAGAACTTACTAAATGAAGTAAATGGAGGGCATAGGTGAAAGCACAGAATTCTGTAAATATACTGTATCAACTTATGATACTTTCTGATTATCTATACCCCCATTTAAAAGCTATGAACATTATGAGGCAATTCATTGTGTCACCTAAAAGCATTTATGTAGCAACCCACGATGTTGGAATAAGGTATTTATGGGGTGACCCATGTATGTGCAAGTACATTTTTCTGATGAGTATTCCTTTTGCATTGAGTATGTTTGTTTTTGTTATAATGAATTATAATAGAATTGTGGAATTTTTTCTCTGCTATATATTATTATGTCAGGGTGTTTGTTTCCTTAGAGCATATGTTGAAGCCAAAATTGTGCACTATGGCCAGTTTGTGCAATTTTCTTTTTTCTTTTTCTTTTTTTTTTTTTTTTTAATGGAAATAGCTGTGCACATGGATAAAACATTCTTCTACAGAAAAAAGATGAATGTAGGCAGCACTGGATGCATCACTGAAATAGATGTAAAAGTGAACTTAGAATGTACTCAGTTTATAAATAATTTCTCAGTATTAATAAAGACTGTTTCAGCTACTGAACTGTATTTGGTACTTATGTATTATCTCGTCAATAGTGTTGCTAAGCAGCAGGATTTAGTGCAATATGTGAATAAGTGCAATATAACAATACAGTCATAATATCTGTGCTTTTGTTTTATGTAATTCCGATTAATTTTCATTAAACCATATTTTGTTTTTATGAATGAGGATATGAGTTAACTGTTATTGCTATATTTTTCCTTGCATTTTGGAAAAATTTATTAAAGTTTGGGACTGGCTTTTGCAAAACAGCAAGCAGTGGATTATTTGCAAAGTTATGGGATTGTACCATTAAAAAAAGTGTGGACATAATATGGTCACTTAAATATGGCTGACAAAACAGTAATAAATTGGAAAAATCACATGCAGGAAGTAAGTGTATTCTATATGGAGCTTCCTGGGCTAACAAAATAATAGAAACTGATGATATATTTTTACGAAGTATGAAAATAAAGGAGGTCAAAGGCATCAGTTTCTTCAGAATTCTGCAAAAACAATGGGCATAAATTTGGCGGCATCGGCTTCAACTTTCATGGTTCCAACAGTAGCCTTTTTTCATAATTGATGGGGTAATACCTAAGTACCTTATATTTTTGCAGTTCTGTACTTTAAATGGCATGTCAAAGCCCCTAGGAAGCTAGAAATTTCAGATACTTATTTTTTTTTTTTTTTTTTTTTTTTTTTTTTTTTTTTTACAATTTAGTTTATATACAAATGAATAAAAATAAAAGGCTTTTTTTTTAAATTTGATTTCATATTTTCTTACAGGGAATGTATTAACAAAGTGTGTGAAACTGCTGGCTTAAAAACTATTGATAAAAAGAGAAAGGTATTTGCCATTTGGTTAATATTTATCACTTAGAAATTATAATAAGTACTTTTTCATGTAATTTTTTATGTGATATGTTTGATAAATTACTACAGCAGATCATTTTATTCAGAATTTTGTGTTTAAAAATTTTGCTGAACTCGGGTGATAAATTCAAGAAATAACTGCAACAGTGAAGTATAATTAACTCATTTAACTATGTCTTTTCTAATGATCCATCCTTATATAGCAGGTGTGGCTATAATGCAGCTCACGAGCCGCATGTAGCTCTTGTATGTGAATGGTGTGACTCTCATGTAAATAACATATATGTATATGAAATATTCTAAACTAAAACTGCTCAGTGTCCAAAAGAAGTTAATTAATTGAATATAATTCCTTTTTAGGGAAATTATTAGTAAACTTAAACCAATCAATGTCCAAACATAATTATTTTTTTTAGTGAAGAAACTTAATAATGTTATTAAAAAATACTGTATTTATTTTATCAAACAATTTTATAAAGAAAATCTTTCAAAGTTAGATTTGCTTGTGGATTCTTTACTAGTGGATGGGAGAATACTGGAAGGGTCTGCTAAATTCCTGAATCATTAGTAATAGTAGAAATTAAACTTGTGGTCTATGAGTGAAAAAGAAAACACATGCAACACATTAAGAACATTTAATATGATACAAAATTTGATATAAGTTTAAAGCAATTTGGAACTTAATTTGATATCTAAATTAAGAAATTTATGGCAGTTGGAAGCTTTGGAATTTCTAAAAAATCTAATGATGGTCATAGCTTAGAAGACAATGTTACTTTTAAAAAAGTTTGAGAATTCATAAAATTTGACGACTAGTGTATATGGCTTGCTTGCCATGGAGCAAGCATGGAGAGAATAATGGGACAATTTTGAGGTAACAGAAAGACGATTTGATTCACAGAGAAGAATCAGTAGTTTCATGAGCATTACAAAGCTGTGCTAGATACACATTCGCAAGAAGGTATCATGGAAAGAGTTTTCAGAAACTGAAAAAGAGCCCTTTTTAACATGTCAAGCTGTAATAAGAGGAAACAAAAGACACCACAAAACTTCACATTGTCTTTGAGGCATTCTCAAATGCTGAAAGCAAATTGTCATTGAATGATTGTTTAGAATCAGCTGTTTCTTTCCATTTGAAACTTGTTTTACTGCTTTTAGTGATGTAACTTGTGGCTTTTAGAAACTTTCTTGAATTCCAACATACGGCTGTTACTGACCGTAAACTGTTGTAAATTTTCTTCCAATATAATAAAATATTGATCAGTCAAAATTGTATTATAACTTTCTTAAAACATAAATAAGGAAAATGAGAGCTTTTTAATAAAAAGTAAACTTTTTATTTGTGTTACCCTACTGAAAGTCATGTTCAAATGAATTTATGTGTGACTTCACCCAACCTCTCCAATAGAACAGCAAGGACGAAATAGAGTTCCTTTTTGTATAATGGTAATATCTCAAACTGTGGCTATTTTAAGCTGCTTTGAAAGCATTAAATTTTTGTTGAATGAATGGAGGAAATGTGATGTCTTTCTAAGGAGAATTCAAAATTTAAACCCAAAGATGGCCAAATAATACCCCAATGAAACCTTTCATTACTTTATGATAATTGCTAATAATTTTCCTGCTTAACATCAGGTTGGAAAATTTAGAATGTTTAAATTTTTTCCCTTAAATATTACATAGTATTTACAACCTGTAGGTATAAGGGGAAGTTTGGGAATTTAAGAATTTGATGAATGATGTTGAAAATTGAATTGATAAATAAGATCTAAAGCTAGCACATAAATGAAAATAAGATCTAAAGCTAGCACATAAATGTGCTAATAATGCAGCTTGTAATTTATGGAAACCACATTGGAGTAAGTACTCATATTGATGATTTGCATTGGAATTTGTCGTGCAGGATTTATCATTGAAAAATCTAGGCAGGAATTTCCTAGAATTTGATTTACCACTGAACCACTTCAAGTTGAATTGTTGCCTGTTGATGCAGATACAGGAGAGGAAATTAAATGATGAAAACTAAACGCAAAACATATGAATATTGTGAAAAATTTTATCTTTGAGTATTATCTCATAATTGGTAAAAATATCCAGTGCATCGAAGACTTACTGAAATCAGTTTAACTCTTTCGCATTGAGAGAGGGCCAAATCTCTTTTACTCAAACATTGAAAACACCCATGTTTACGAATTTCTTCTGGAATGCTTTTTCTTCCCCCCATGACAAATTGAATGCTACAACACTAAACCTACTAAAGTAAAGTACTAGTAACCTACTAAAGTAAAGTGAGAATTTCTTTCTTGGATGCTTTTATCGTGTGTGAAGTTTTCCCTTGGAACGGGATTGCAACTTCAATAACTAAACATTGACAGTAAACAAAGGAAAAAGAAGGTGCATTAAAATAACAAAACTACTTTTAGTCACTTCAAAAGAATGATTGACATGTCATTTAACAACACCTGAAAGCAATGAGCAATGCTGTAACGTAATGGTGGAAAGCACTAGGTATTAAATTATTCAGGTGTTTTGGGCAACCTGTGGATGTTCGAATGCTCGGGCCTTTGGGGCGATTTCGATGCGAAAGAGTTAAATGCAAATTCACTATATTCTCAGCAAATTGATGCAAGGGTAATATATTACACAAATAAATAAAATTCTTTAGCATGTAAATTGCAGTGACAATTTAACTCCTTAATTATTTAAAATTTTAATGGAAAGCATATTGATAAATATTGTTTTAATTAAGACAATATTGACAATATTGTTTAGCTGACTTCTGAGTAATATTCCATACAGATACCATATGATATGTTCTTTTGTTGATTCTTGGAGTCTTGTTATAAGCATTTTGATATCCTTGAACATTGTTATATGCGGGGGCACTTTATTTCATTGATTTAAAAATTTTCATGTTTTATATTTTTTCCCTTGTCTACATATTAAATTTTAAATATTTATTCATTTTGCAATGTCACAAACAAGTTGTTATTTGATATGTGTAAAGTACTTGATTTGGTACACTGTCTTGAATTCTTTCACATAATTTTCCAAAGAGTGTCAATAACTCAAAAGTTAAAGCATAAAATATTGATAAATTTTGTTATGTTGACTTTTGAATAACATTCTGCACAGTGACTATCTTTTTTTTTTTTTTTTTTTTTTTTTTTTTTAAGTCCAAAGGGGCTATGTCCCTGAAAGGACTATTGTTTTCATTTTGTGATTTTGCTTCAGAACCCTATAAATAGTGTATCACTTTTCAAATCGCTACCACCAAATACTATCGCCCTGTATTATATTTGAAGAAATTAAATAATGAAGAATCTGCATAAATGTATGTATGTTTCTCGCATTGTGATAAAACAATGATACCTAGAGCCATCCAATTTTGAATGACATAATCTACTGTGAATATGGGCATCGGAAAGCCCAAATTTGAAACTTGGAATTTGTTTTATTATTGATTTCATATTTTGTAAAACTTTAACGAACTTTTGATTAACAAGCTCAAAGATTTAAAAGCGAGCAATGGCAACCCTCTACGGGAGGGGGGGGGAGTTTTTATCTGCAACGCGCTGAACTGTGTATCGGAAATTCTAATTATAGGCTCATTTTAAAATTATTTTGTGACATTGCTGTTGAACTGAATTTTACAGTTTAAGTGCAAAGAACATGATATTTAATCAACAAAAGGTAACACACAAAATGTTAAAAAAAATGCCCTTTTGGACGTAATTTAAAATCTAACCTTTCAGATTTTTTTTTCGTGTGTTTGTTAATCCTTAGAAGGTTTTAATAGCAAAAATCATTGGAGAGGAGCACTTCATTCGTTTTTAAACTTTTTTATTACTAATATTTTCTTTTTTTCCTTGTTCGTATGTTATTCTTAAATGTTTATGTATTTTACGAGGTTCTAAACAAATTTATTACTTGTAAAATACTGTATTTTGTTACACAGTTTTGGATATTTTAACAGAACTTTTAATAAATGACAAATAAATTGAAGTATAAAATTGTATTTTACCATGTTTTTGTATTTTAATTTTAAATAATAATTAGGATTTATTTTAGGTAGATAAAAGGGTTATACGTATGCTTGCAGAAAAGCCCAATATGGATTATGCAGGGTCTAATGTGAATTTAGTCATCACCAGTTCATTTATGATTTTATCTGTAATGGAATCTGGAGAGGTAATTTACATTGTGATGTATGGATTCTAAAAATGAATGATATGCTAATTTACATTGTGATATATGGATTCTAAAGATGAATGATATGCTAATTTACATTGTGATATATGGATTCTAAAAATGAATGATATGCTAATTTACATTGTGATATATGGATTCTAAAAATGAATGATATGCTAATGTAAATATATCTTATTTCTCTCTTTCTGTTAATTTCAATGAAGATATCTTTAATAGATATTTTAATTATTTCCTTAAATTTGTATTACTTTTATTTTTTGTTTATATTATGAGTAGTATATATGATTTGTTATTTAATTGCAAACACTTTTGCATTATTTGCATTCTAATTTTATACTTATCTGGATATTTAATATTAAAAATGCAAAAGTATATTACATGTAAATTAAAATTAAGTGTATTGAAGATTGGAACGTAATGCAGTAAAAAGTCCAAGATCCAGATTGTTGGGATTTTAGCAGTTCTAGATAGGTCTAGATTTTGTATCAACAATTTAAATTATATTCATCTTCATTTAGCATTTCTTTCCATTTTTTTTCACATATTCTATTACAGTCAAGCCTGTATTTAATGAAGTTGCAAAAATTCCTCGAAAAACTTCCCTAAATGGAGGAATTCTCAAAATGGAGGCTGTAATAAAGCACAATTTAAGATGAAAGAGTGTGTGTTTTTTTAAATCTAAAATAGTAGTAAAATGAAATATAAATGCAAAATTGTATGTGTCATTGTATCCATTTCTTCAAAGTTACATAAATTCGTTTTGAAAAAATTCAATTACTTTAGTTTGTTTTAATTGTTGGGAACAATATTGCATGTCGTAATAATTTTCAAATCTTTGTTATGCACAGAAAATGTCTTCTGATGCACTTTCTTGAAAGTGAAAACTACATTCCAAGGTATCAAATGCATTTAATATATTTTCTGGCAAAGATTTTGTACATTAGTTTTCATTAACATTTTCAGTTTCATCATCATCAAAACAGAAGAGAAACATGCCAAAGTGAAACATTTTAGTTCTTGACTAAATCTACACTAAACATTAGGTTGTTGTTTTGCTAATGTTTGTTTGATTTTCACCTCTTTCTCTTCTATTTTTGAGAAAGCTCTTCCAGTTTGTCCCCACTTGTGTCATTTTACTTCTTGTATAAATCTGCACCAAAGATAATGTTATTGCTTTGCTAATTATGTTTCATCATCATCATTCACTTTCTGGTTGCTAATTTTTTGCTCTCCAGTGTGTCATCTTCAGTAGGAATTCTTGAGGTTTCATCATCATTATCTATAAATAAATTATCATGTAGCAATTCATTATTCTATTACAGCCACATACTATTCAGTTTCTCATTTTGCCTATCATCATCATTGACACTGCTGTTATGAGTAGTATCAATCTTCATGATAAAACCAGCTTTTTCGAAGCAGTTGTGAACAGTTTTTCAGTGACAACGTAATACTGTTACGAAATGTCAAGGCATGGTAAGATGGCTTCCCTGCATAGCAGTTTTACGGTTGGCATAAAATGGCATGGTAAGGCAGGGTTGCCACATTTGGCGAGAAATCACCCATTTGGTGACAAAATTGGCATTATACCATGGACAGATGGAGAACCTTCTGGAACGAATTCTTACCGGTTTAGCCCAGAATGTTCTCGAACACAAGCCAAAAGCTATATAAACCCTGCTGGTCTACAGTCAGTTAGTGTGTGTTTCTCATCGAGTGTATGTCTCGCCTAGCGAGCTGATAGAGAGTGTGTTTCGTCAGAGTGTGAATTTATTAGTATCGAGTTGGTGTCTCATCTAGCAAGTCAATCCCTGTGGAGTCGATCGAGTTGACAGCCGGGCAGCGAGTGCCAAGTGGGTCGTCGAGTGCACCAAAAGAGAGTCTCGTAGAGTATCACGGTTAGTGCATCGTCAAGAGAGCATGTTGAGCTCCAGAAATGGCTGAACCAAAAAGTCAGGAGCTGTGCTCTGTGTGTCGTTGAGTGCATCGCGAGTTGTGGCGTGGAGAGTCTCGAGAGACGTGGAGTTCTGAGAACGACCGAGCAGAGTCGGGAGCTGTACTCTGGTGCTTTGCAGTGAAGCTGTCTCCACCATGACCTGGATGTTGTGTCGCTGATCGTGTCAGCGTGTTTATAGTAGTTCATAGACGACTGTAAAAACGTGTTTTGGAGCTGTCCTGACAATACTGGCCAATGAAGTGCGTTATTCGATACTTCATCAAATGTCGTCGTTATTCACTCCAAAGCCACACGAACCCAGTACGAACATGAAGGAAGAAAATAATGTAACAACTGGTGTCAGAAAAAGAAAAACGCAACAATACCGTACTTTTGCAAGTTCAAATACGCTCTCAAGTGAATTTATTATATATAAAGGATGATTACTTTCAATTCCCATTAGGGTCATCTTCAAAATTCTTTTGTGATAATGCACCTTAACATTTTTACCAACCCTTGATCCATAGGCTGCCGTTTTGCAGTGGTATTGGGGAGGAGATTTAAAATTTTTGTACTTTGATATCTTGAGGGTGACCATTGCAATTGTTTAAAGCAGTTTTTCATATCTGTACAGCCACGTAGTCATCTAAATTTTTTAGCCGATTGTAGAAAAAGTCTGAGATCATCCATGAGTTCTTGTTGAAATCAAATCTTATTTCCAGTGATTTAATACTCCTAAAACATCTTGGATTTTTTTTTTTTTTTTTTTCTTTCTTATAAGTGAAGATTATTTCATTATATGTGGAGTTTTTCATTTCCTCCCATATTTGCGCATTGCAGTTCAGTAATTTTGCTGTCCTTGCCTCCAAAGCATTTTCCTTTTCTGAAGGTTAATGTTCTGTGTCGTAAACATTGATAAAATAATGCAGTTTTGTCAGCTTTGAAGGTATCTTTTAGCTTGTACCTTTCTATGTTTTCTTTTAGTTTTTTTTTTTTTTTTTTTTTTTTTAATGTTTCCATATGACACAGTGATGTTCATTTAACATCTTTGCTTTCACCACGTATTATTTTGACAAGTATCCCTTTTTTATTTTTTAAAATTTCTCAGTCCACCCATTGCTTGCATGAAATTCGCTTTGTCTTAAAGCTTTGGCCAACTCTGTAACTTTTTTCAGTGTCAATGGTCCTGATACTAGTGCACTTTTTCTCTCTCTCTCTCTGTGCATCACCATTTTAACATTGCTTCGTCAATGTCTTCATAAATACATCGTTTTCTTACATCTATCACTTGTATCAGTGAAATCAAAGCATGATGAAATTTTGCCCTGATTTTCAGGGTTGGTGATAAGCTAGTTTGCAAAACACTGAATTTTATAGCTTTTTTTACACCTTTGCCCACTTTGTTGAGAATCATCATTTTTTCTTTAAGTGTTAGACACTTTCGTTTCAACATTTTTATTATTTACTGCACAGCTAACTTAACAAGGATTTGTAGCAAAAAACCATTTAAAGCAGAAATAAAAATAATATATGCAGCTCTTGCTTAAATTAGTTTCTGAAGCAGGCTTCAGTGGGGAATTTTTAACAATAGCGTGGTAAAACATTTTCGCATTTGAGAAGCTTTCTTCCCCCTCTTCACCCTTTATGTAGAATGAAATGTGACAACAGATAGAAGCCACCTGCTTTTCTTTAGGACCATAGCTACACACATGTATGTGCCACAGCAAGTGAATAAATAATTTTAAAGTAAAAAAGAAAATCTTGAAAAATTATCGATTTAAAAACTTTATTAATAGAATGTGTACTTTGCTGTTTGGAGTTTTTTACACAAGAAAATTCACACCTAAGGCAAAATTCCATGAAAAAATTCACTAAATAGAGGAATTCATAAAATAGAGTGTTTGTTAAATAGAGGTTTGACTGTAATCATAGTCAGATAATTTCACAGCTTTTTTCTACCAAAGATGCTTGGTGCTTTTTTGTTTTGTTTGTGTATTATATCGGTGATAGTCATTACCAGTTGGGTTTGACTTCCTTCCTGTTGCAATTACATTTTTAATTTTTTTTTTTTTTTTTTTTTTTTTAAGAAATTGAAATGGGTTTTTAAGTTTTGAGATTTGCCAAGAGATGGGCAAACTGCTGTCATATTCCTTCAAGAAAGAGTTGTGCTGCACAAACAATGTGGTTTATATTACAACATCTTAAAATTAAAATGTGACAGGAGCCCATAATGGCTATATTTTCTGCTGACATCCTCTGGTTGATTATTGGATATGCAGTGATCGAGGAATGAGTAAAACGGAGATATTATCTTTTATTAAAGATTTAATTTTGATAAGATAACAGTAATAATAATAGACAGAACAAAATAATTAGATGGATGAAATCAGTAAGTCGAGAAAGAGTGTATTCACAGTTGTTGCTGAACATAGGCTAATCGAGATCTTTCTCTGCTATGACAACAAATTAAAGTTCGTACATTCCACTTCAGCAAGCATTGGTTTTTGTATTTCATGCAAAAATTTGTTATAAATGTTTTTTATTATATTAAAGTAGAAAATTAGAATGTAATGAATTTGAGATGCAAATCTAACAAGTTTCTAAAAAAAATCAAAGTATCATTCATAAATTGATTTGTAATGTATCATTAAACAATTTTCATTTTATTTTGTATTGATTATTTTAAAAGTTCTGTGGTTTTTCAAATAGAAGCATGTTTTCTTCTAATTATTTTGTTATTGCTAATACAGAGTGACCTTGATGAAAGCAGATATTTAAATACAGTATTTTCTGCTCTTGTTGAATAATTCTAGCATGTCTTGTTGCTTAATTTTTGTTTCAGTGCAGTGGTAAGCATGGAGACCCCAAAAGTTCATTTTTGTCTTATTAGGTTTTTATTTTTAAAAAAGGGAAAGAAACATATTGGTCAAACTGCTTGTAAAATTGGTGCCATATATATTGAAAAAGTGCTGTTTCTGATGCCTCAGTTCGAAGGTGATTTGATCGAAATTTCAGCCTCGAAGATGATGCCTGCTTTGTATGGTCAGCCTCTAATAAACAAGAACCTGCTAAAAGAAGCTATCACTAAAAATATAATTCTACAGTTCAGAACTAACAGAAAAATAAATAGTCCAATAATATAATATGTGATCATATGAAAAAGATTAGGTATACAATCTACTATAGTGTGTAGGTACCCCATATTTTAATAGAACAGAATATTCTTGCTCAAATATTGCCATGATTCTTTGATAAAAAACGAATAAAACAATTTTTCTTCCCTGAAATGCCTTATTACTGGAGTTGAAAAGTAAATACTACACAGTAATGTTACAAGAAAGATGAATTAACCTAAAGAATTTCCTTTAGTAATAAGTTGCAGAGGGGAGCTTTATCCCAAAAAAGTAATGCTTTATGTATGGTGTGACTACAAATGAATTGTACATGATGAAATTTGCTGCCAAATCAGTCAATAAATTCAGAAAAGTATTTCCCCCAGTGACAGTTTTAAAAGTTAAAATCCAAGCCATGTGCACAGAATCGACTAGTCTTTGAATTATTGTTTTCCATCATGAAAGTTCTTGGTCTCATATTTCGATGCATGTCAGACAAAGACTTAACGAGTATGGTTTAGATGTTTATGTTCTTCACTAAACCCACATCAACTAAACCTTGCCCTCTTAGATTTGCATCTCTTCAGAATTCTCTGAATTGCCTGGAGTACATTTCTTTGTAGTTTATCAAAAAGCAGGTTAATAATTTCTTTATGAGTAAACATAATAACATATTTCAAAAAGGAATTTTTCATCTGTCTGAAAGATGCTAAAGTGTCTTAGAATAAAGTGGTGCGTATGTGATTCAACGAAAGTTTGTTTTTTTTTGCACAGTTTCATTTATATTTATTATCAAGAAACGGCAGAACTTTTCATGTGAGCTAATATAGGATATTAAAATAGAGAATTAGTGTAGCAAGAGCAGCTGAAAATGTAACTAAAACAGTTATGATCCTATACAGTATATGAATGTATTTTTTGTTAGTTTTTGCTAGCTGAATCTAGCTTTCAGAACTTGTTTTGGAATAGCAAGAAATTTGTTAAATCTCAAAATGCTAAAATAGACATATGAATATGCAATGAAGTGTAAAATTGCGTGCTTTTACAATTCTAGCAATCTAAATAAAATGACGGATATATAAAAAAAATAAACAGTTTTTTTTTTTTTTTTTTTAAATGTTTGCTTTAATCTTTTTTTAGTTAATGAAAATTTGATATTGATGCTTACATTTATTTCAAAGATTTTAATCTTCAGATTTTCTCTTCAGTGTTTTAGAAACTCTTATTAAGTTATGTTTAACATTTGATTAAAAATTTGTGCAGCTTTAGATTTCCCAGAACATCTATGAATATATTTGTTGTATTTCCTTCTCATTGATAATAGCCAGACACACTACTTGCTTCATAGTAATTATATAATATTGTGAAGATTGATAATCATTGTTATTAGGTATATAATCTGAAAAATTGGTCAAAGTGATATTTCATTTCATCCTTTGTAAAAATTATTTTTGTACAATTTTTTCTTATAGTAAATATATTGTTTTTAGATGCACTTTGTTATAAAAATTTTGCTTTTCTATAGCAGGTACTAATAGCATTTTGATATCAGTTATTTCTGAATTTTGTTTAAAAAATTACTCATTATGTTAAGAATAATGAATTTAAAAGTGCTAAATTGAAACAATTTTTCACAGTTTAGTGTATATCTGAATAATAGTTTTCTCTACCTCAAATAAAATGACTGAATTGTTTCTACAAGAATTGACTGAATTGTACAAGCCTATGAATTTCTAATTCATAGGTGTGCAGTTTAATGACGGAGATCCAACTTTGAAATTTTAAAAAATTCATAATTTATCAGATGGAAAAGAAAATTATAAATATAAAGGCTTTCTCCTCATATCAACATTTCTCATACCTAGCTTAAAAGTGCTACTAAATTAACTCACTAACAGCATTATTTTTTAAAAGGGAAAGAATTTGAAAATTTTGAAATCTGTCAAATTGTAATAAGATTTTTTTTTTTTTGCTTAACTTTCTTTAGGAAAATTAAAATATTTGGTAAATAAAAAGAAATTAGTAAATCTGAATTTGTTAAAATAAGATTCAACTTTGTTTTCACTTTTTAATAAAAAAAAATATTTATAATTTTCTTTTAAAATTTATAAAAGAATTTATTAGGTTTTTAAGTCAAATCTGAGAAGAGGGAGAAAGCTCACAGCTGCATTATGTGATTATAAATAAAGATTTTGCAGTAAAGTTATTTTGTATAATAGTATATGTGTGTATCTGTTTATCTATCTTATGTGCATTCATGTTATTCTTTTTGAAAGCATTAATCTGTATTTTAGGTGATTGCCAATCATGAAATGCCAAATGTGTCCTTTGCTTCTGGTGGGGATGCTGTAAGCTTATAATTTCTGTTCTACATTTTTGTTGTTATTTAATATATGATGCAGTCTATATAAGAATTAAATCAGTAAAGAAAAATGCTTCTTACCTATCTGTAAAATTAAAGCGTATTGTTACAGATTTTGTGTTTAGTTAGCTATTTTTGGTAGAATTGTAATTAAAATTGTTTTATTTCGCTGTGTAATGCAGTGCGTGACAAGAAAGCTATGCTGAAAAATTAAAAATGCAGGAGCACACACATTTAATGTAATTTATATTTAAATTGAAATAATGCAATTGTGTGTTACCTGTAACTGTAATTCTACTCTTTTGCTTTCCAGAAACCTCAAGAAATTACGAGAAGCTTCTCGTGACTGATTAAAAAGCTTATAAAAGCCGGAGAAAAACATCTGTCTAGTTGTTTACTAAGTTGTTGTTTTACTTAGCTGCTGCAATTTTTAGATTGGATTAGCTTTATCTGTGCTTTGAATTGTGTTCTGTTTAATGTTTTAGTAGTTTAAAATACAACTATTGTGTGCTATTGTATGAATATCTGTGAGGAAAAATTTCAGCATTTTGCTTTATTTCTTGGGATAAAAATAAATTTTATTAACTTTTCATCAGACTTATACATTCAATCTATTACGAACCCATACGCACGCAATGATATGTTAGAAATATTTGAGGAATTAGAACTTGTTTTAGCTTTTTCTGTTTAAGTGTTTTTCTACAAATTAAAGCTTTTTAGAAGACTGTGATAAGCCTGAAAATTATTTTTGAAACTCATTGAAGTATATTTAAACTAAATGTTAAAATTTAAATCAAAATTCTTCTGAAATGATAGACATACATATTTATTGGCAGAAATTTTACTATTGTTATTATTTGGTAAATACTATAGTTATTAGAATTTATACTAATGAAAGAAAATAAAGTAAAAAAAAAAATTAAATTATAATTAATTTATATTATGAATTTTTTTGTTCTCCAGGTTATATTCCTTTAATAATTATCTGAATTTAATGGAATTTTACTTTATATAAACTTTATATTTAATAGAATTTTACTTTACATAAAATTATACTTCATAAATGGTGAACTTTGTTCGCTTTTCATGAGTTTTGTTTCTTTTCTTTTTTATATATGTTTTAATTTTGTATAAAAGCATTTTAAAATTAATTCCAAGCTTAATTCCTCTAAAATTCATCTGCCACTACTGTTTGTTTATATTTTTAATAATAGCTCAAAATTAAAAAGAAATCTTTCTGTGAAAAGTTTGAATTTTTAAATCAATTCTATAATAATGTTCTTTTGCTTATTTTTAGGATACTTTAGATTTTATTGCATATGTCGCTAAAGATTCAAGATTTGGACGAGCTTGCTTTGTCCTAGAGTGTGGTGGAGGACTTGCACAGGATGTTATAACAACAATTGGACAAGCCTTTGAATTAAGGTTCAAAGAATTTCTTAAAAAGACTCCACGTGCCATAACTGTTCCAGATAGGTTTGTAAAAACTGTTGTTAAAAAAAAAAAAAAAAAAAAAAAAAAAAAAAAAAAAAACTTTTTTTTTTTTCCAGTTTCTCATGAAGCTGTAAATTTCATTTGCATGTATTTTTCCCCCTCAATGAAAGATAAATGCAATGATGTTTCTTTGTTTTCTGCAATACATTCCATAAATTATGATTATGGAATAAATTAATAAATATGATAAATTATATGGAATAATTAATAAATATGGATAAATTAGAGAACAAAGAAAAGTTATGGTAATAAAAGAGAGGATAAAATAAACTACAGATAGGAGTTTTAAGAAATTTTTTTTAAATATATATTACGTCATTATTTTTAAAAAGGCATATACGTGTATTATACAAAAGGCATTTTTCATCAAAAATTAGCTGATAAAGAAACTTATCTCCAAATATTTATGAAGATGGAATGGGGAAAAATGCTTTAGTTGGATGGAATGTAGGTTACTGCATTCCAACTAAATGGTGTATATATAATAGTGCTGAACCAGTAGCAATATTTTTTTTTTTTTTTTGGCACAATGCATTCCGGCAAGAGACGTTCTCCAGGTAGATGTCAGACCGTCTGCCATCCGAACGGTAAAGGGGGAAGCTTGATTTATCAATCCAAAGAACCCGTTCCCACTGATCTACTGTCCAATTTCGATGTGCTTTGCACCACAAAACAAAATTAAATTTAAATGGGTGTGTGGTTAGGCAAGGGATTTTTGGATAAGGAAACTGAGAAACGGTAAGAGGAAATGGATATGGGGTAGGAAGGAGGGAAGGCAGGATGGGTGTGAAGGACTGCAAGGACGGGGGGGAGGGGGAAGAATAGTGGGCAGGAGGGGGGGGGGAGGAAGGGGAAAAGTCATGTACGGGAAGGAATAAGGGACCGGCAAGTGAAAAAAAGGCGGGTGCCCGAACAAATAAGGGACAGGGGTCATCTAGGCGGAGAAAGGCGGAAACCATGAGGTGGGCAGGGGTATGGGGCGGAGGGGAAGGGGAGGCACGAGAAGGACCTCGGGGCGGGGCTAGGGTGGGAGTGGTGCAGTGGAGGGGGGATGCTGACGGAATATTCCCTTCGGAAGGGGGAGCAAAGGAATCCATAAGTAAACGCGCTAAAAAGGGCGGGGTTGGGCGGGGGGGTCCCCGGGGACGGTAATGGTCAGCTAAGGGGCGGGGGTGGGACAAAGGGGAGGGGGTGATGAAGGGAACTGGGGGAAAGGAAAAGGAAGAAATACGGACGGAGGTATTGAGGGGGTAGGATGGCAGGAGGCGGGAAAAAAGTGTTGGAAAAAGCGAAAGGAAGAAAAGGCACGGGGGTACAGTCACTAAGGAATCGGGGGGGGTACGAGGCGGGGGGGAGAAGGACGGATAGGGTGGGAAGGCGGAAAGGAGGGGGGTGTAAATAATAAGGAATAGGATGGACCAAGGGAGGACAGAAAAAACAATGGAGGAGGCAAAGGGAGGGAGAGAGGAAGGAATCAGGCCGCTAGAGAGATGCTAGGAGGGAGGGAGGGGGGATAGGGGCAAGCTGGGGGCGTATGGGGAGGAGGGGGCGGAAAAAGGGGAAATGGAGGGAAGGAAGGAGGGGAGGAATTAAAAGGGATAGGGGATCAGGGGGGAAAAAAATATAGGGGCGGGATGAGGAAAAGGAAACGGGAAGGGAGGTGGAAGAGGCGAGCGCAAGGGATAACAACTTGCAGGACAAATTCAGATAAAAGAGAGAGAGGGCAAGGAGCAAAAAAAGGAGGCAAGGGCCGAAGGAAGGACAGCGGGGGGAAAAGGGAAAAGGCGGGAAGGATAAAAAGGACAGGGATGAGGAGCGAAAAGGGAAAACGCGTAAGGCTTGGACAAAACGGGTAATGAAATGGGGCGGGAAGGGGGGGGAAGGGCAGGGGCGCATGGAGGAAAGGGAGGTACAGCCATAAAATCTGATGTCTTTAGGCAGGAGAAGGGGTGAATGGGGGGGGAGGGAATTTGGAGGAGGGGGGGGTGAAAAAGGCCGCGGGATGGGAAAAGAGGTGAAGGGAAGCGCAGGTAGAAGGATCGGGGGAGGGAAGGAAGGGGGGGGCAGGGGGAACACAAGGCAAGGGAGGAGGCAGGGGAAACATATAAGGGAGGGGGGATGGCAGTAAGAGAAACACAGGGGGGGCAGGATTAAACAAGGGGGGAAACAGGAGGAAGGCAAGGCCAAGGGTGGCAACTGCTTAGTCAGGGGGGGACAGGGGGAACGCAGAAGAAATGCGGGAGGTAGCGGAAGGAGAGAGGGGAGGGTGGAGGGGGGGGGAAAGGTAAAGGAGTGCGGGAGGGGAATAAGAAAGGAAGGGGGGTTGGGAAAGGGGAAATTGTGGGAGGAAGGAGAAAAAGCGGGAGGAAGGGAAGGGGGGGGGTGGGGCGGTAGGGGGGGAGGTGTCCTGGGGGGGCGCGAAAAGGGGAGGGGGTAAGAAACATAAGGGGGAGAGGGGGGAGGTGAGGGAGGGAGGCAGGAATGGGATGGGGGGGGGGTGAGCCGACGGAGGGAACGGAGGAAAGGACGGGAAGGAAGGAGGAGGGGAAAGAAGGACGGAAAGGATCTTTATCTGGAGGAAGGTCACGATTGGAAAGGAACGGGAAGGTGGGGTCAAAAGGGAGAAGGAATAGGGGAAGGACGTGGGGAGGATAGGGGATCGCGAGGAGTGGGCAAAAATGGATCATAGGGGATGGAAGGCAAAATGGAAGGGAAGGCAAAGGGAATCGGAGGAGGGGAGTAGGGTCAGGATTGGACCGAAAAGGGAGGAGTAGGAAGGAAAGGGGGAAAGGAGGACGGCCAAGGGAGGGGGAAGGAAAGGGTGGGGGGGGGAAGGGGAATGGGCAAATAAGCGGGAGAGGCAGGAGGTTGGAAAAGGGGGAGGATGGGAGGGGAGGAAGGGAGAAAAACGGGGGGGAAAAAACGGGGAGGGGGAGGGGTGGGATGGGGGGGAAACAATAAGGAGGACGTCGGAGGGGAGGGAACAAGGAGGGGAGGGGGGCTGTGCGGGGAGGTGGTGGGAGGGGGGGTGGGGGAGGGAGGGAAGGGGGAGAAGTGTGATAACGAAAAAGGAAGGAGGAGGGAGGAAAGGAAGGGGAGGAGGAAAAAAGGGAAAGGGAGGGGTGGGAGAGGAGGAATGGAGGGGAAAAGGGGGGATAGGGGAGGAGGAGGAAGGAGGTGGAGGGGGAGGCGGGAAGGAAAGGATGGGGGGAAAGGGAGGAGGACAAGGGGGGGGGGAGAGGGGAGGAGGAAGGGGGTAGGGGGGGGGGAGGGGAGGGAGTGGGGAACAAGGAAAGGGGAGGGGGAGGGGGGACCTAAGGGGGGAGGGGGGGGAGTGAGGGGAAGGAAGAAGGGAGGAAGGGGGAGGAAGTAAAGGGAGGAGAGGAAGGGAGGGGGAGGGAAAAGGAGGAGGGGGATGAAGAGGGAAAAGGGTTAAGAGGGTGGAAAAAAAAAGGGGCGAAGGAGAAGAAGGGTGGGAAGCCCAGGGAAAGGAAGGTATGAACAGGAGGAAGGATGGAAGGAATAAGAGTAGGGAAGGGAACAGGAAGGACTAAGGAGGGGAGAAAGGCCGGGGACGGAGCGAGTGAAGGTGGGGAACGGGGGGGGGGAACTCGGGAAAATGGTAGGGGAGGAAGATACAGGGGGTGGGGAAAAAAGGAGGAACGGACACGGAAGGGCACCAAGGGAGGGGCATGAGGACTGGAACGGCATTAAAACCAGCGGACAAAAGGAGAATGACCTAAGGGGTGAAACAGGGTCACAAGAAGGGGATGATAAAGGGTAAGGAAGGAGGGAAGGGGAGGAAACAAACACGGGGGAAGGGAAATGGAAAAATGACAAAAAATGAAGCGGGAATCAGAGGCTAAAAAAGGAAAACCGGGAAGGAAGGAGGAAGGGGGTAAGGGACGGGTGAAAGAGAGAAATGGAGTAGGGGACGGGGATCCGGCGACAAGGAAAGGAAGGACACAAAAAAAAAGGTAAAACAGGGGGAAGGGAAGGAGGAAAAGGCACGGAAGGGTTAGGGTGCGGGACGCATGGGGAATGGGGAAATGAGGATGAAAAGGAGCTGAAGGAGGGGGGAGCGCGGGCGTGCCGGGGGGTCGCTAGGAGGAGGAGAGAGGGAAAGGGGACGAAGGGTAGGAAAAGTGGAGGAAAAGGAAGGGGAGAAATGCAGGGATCGGGGGAAAGAGGTCAACGGGGAAGGAGGTAAGGGGAGGGCGGAAGGCGGGGAAAGAAGAAAGGGGAGGGGGAGAAAAGAAGGAGAAAATGTGACTGGGGAAGGAGGGGGGGGTGGAAAGGAACGAAAAGGGAAAAGGGTAAACAGGGGAACTGGGGGGAGGGAGGGAAGGGGGAAATGAGGAGGGGGGATTTATTAAAAGGAGTAAAGAAGTGAAGGAGGTGAATTATGGAAGTAAAAAGGATTGGTGAAAAAGTGGGACGGTTTATTTGAGTTATGTATGGGTGTGGGAGAAGGATTAGGTATTAGTATGTTATTAAAATTAAATATAATATTTTTAGATTATTGTATGTTATTAATATTAAGTAAATTTTTAATTTAATAAATTGTTTTTAAATTTTAATAATTACTTTAATTAAATTGTTATTATTTTATATGATAATTGTAAGGGTTTTTGATTTTGGGAAGGGAAAGGCAGGGGGGGGCAAGGAGAAAAAGAGGAGGGGCTGGGGGGTCTCAAAAGGGGGGGCGGGTGGGGTAGAGGAAGGCAGAAAATGGAAAACGGTGAGCGAACGGGGGGATTAGAGTGCGGGGAGGGGGAAAAGGAGGAGGAGGCAGGATTGGGGGGACGGGGAGGAGGGGGGGGGGTGGTGGGAAAAATAGTGGAAGGGGGGGGGGAGGAGGATGGGAACAGGAGTGGGGAGGCAAGGGAGGAGGGAGAGGAAGGAAAGGGTGGGACCGGGGACGGAGGGAGCGGGAGGAAAGGCACTTTGAGCAACCGAAGCCGCGGGAGGGGGGGAAGGGA